TTAAAATCCGTGATCTAATTTTAATGTTACCAGGTGGGAATGTTTGCCGAGATAGGACCACTTTCGTGCTTTATTTCGCACCATGTACGTAAGTGCAGAAAGTACTGTTAGTTATTGTAACAATGTTTGTAGTCAATTCCTGCCGAAATGGAGTTTTGCCCCAATGTCAACCCGCAGTGCTACAAAACCAAAGATGAAGACGTAGTTATTCATGCAGAGGGTGAAATTAGATTAAAAATAGTGGGAACACGGGTCGACGCCACTGGCATTGTATGTTCTTTTTTATTTTATCACTGAAAATAATTCTGTTTGTTTTCAGTTTGCTATTGGGACACTGATGGATGATTACCTGGGATTAATTAGTAATTAAGAGGGTTAATTTGTATATTTTTTGTAAACTAGGTGAAATTAAGTAATAAAATTTTTTATGTTCAGTGATGTTCTTTTCCAGATGTCCAGCACAGTGGGAATTTTTTTTCATAATCAATGAAATTTAAAAAACCTAGGTCTATAACTCGCCAGAATAGAACACTTGCTGCCAGTCTATAATCGTATGGTTTAATATGAAAAACATACAATTGTAGACCCGGATCAGGTGTTCTGTGACCTGCATTTTGTCCTGGTGAGTCTTATTTAATTGCATTCTTGTATTTCACAGGGAGTTCCTATGATACTGTTATTATTAGTCTTTTATTTCAATGGTTATTATAGAAAGTGACATCTTGACATTGTCTCTAGTGATGCGCGCATTCGAATGAAAACTATCGAACTATTCGATAGTCGCAAACCATTCGAATAATTCGATAGTGGACAAGTAATTCATTCGAATGAATTGTCTTGAATGAACGAATTATTTGCAATTGCACACACAGTTCATAAATACTAAATACCTTATGTTACGTTGAAAAATGTAAATATTATTTATTTCTTAATCCAGATGGTCACGGTTTGGGATTGGGAATTATAAATTTTATAATACCTACATAAAATATAAAGCGTCGTTTACTAATTACTTAGTAATTACTCATACCATACGCATTATAAATTTATAAGGCATAAGCAAAGTGAAAAAAGTCGATGATTTTCATTTTTATTCGATAGTTGTTCACGAGGTTGTTCATTTATAATTTATATAAGATCCATGTATTTGTATAAGTAATACACATAAAGGAAAAAAATTATTCAAAAAATTCATTCGATAGTGAATTCATTCGATAGTACTTATTACTAAATAGTAATTTATTCGATGGTTTTTTTTTCTCGATAGTTCCCAACACTAATTGTCTCATACTTGAGATACTTTTTGTATACTATCTCTAAGTGAGATAAAATCTTGGGGTTGAATTTCTGACACAGATTTTTAGTAATAATCATTTCAAATTATCTTCAAGGGAAAAGATATGAAACGCTCTGTATACAGCAATCGTGATGAGTATTTCGATTTTGACCATTTTGCGCAGATCCCGGCAACAGGAATTCTAGGGTATGGAGCTTGCTAGAAAGTTGGCATGTAGTTTTTCCGTGACATCAATTATTTTCAAAAATTTCAATGCGTTTTTTGTCACAAAAAGGGGTAACTGTGTTTGTTTAACCTATACGGTATCGCTCACAGTTACCGAAATCCTAATGGTAACCCACAAATTTGAACCACCCTGTAGTACATCCTATACACAATCACTTTGAATAATATGCTCTTACAAGTCCCACAAAAAGCACCAGCCATAAAATGCAATGTCTGTAAATAAAACAAAAATTTATTACACATTTTATTGTGAATCAAAGGTAGAGCTAGGTATGTAAAAAAAGATCGAACTCCTTGGCATTGCATGGTACGAGATTTAGAAAAAGAGAATAAAATTTGTACATAATTCAAATATTTCTTAAAAGACTACGCAAACCACATTCTAACATTAACTTATGTCAATGGTAACTTTCACCACACTTATCTATGCCGCGCTTTTTTACTATTATTCTTTTTTGCACTATTACTAAAATTCTTCTGTTTAGCAGATTCATCCCTTGCCGGACTCGATCTGTCTAGTCCATTCTGATTTTGTGTACCATTTGAACTAAACGACGTTGACGAATTTGTCGAGTGTTTTCCTGTACCCTTTAAGGTGGAGTCCACGTGATTTGTAGTGGGCATTGCTGAATTTGTGTCACTTGAATCTTCATTTGTTTGTGATTCGGTATCACTTTGCCGTTCAGCTAAAGAATTAGTTTTACTTATATCGCTACAATGAAAGTACTTACATTTTTCTTGGTTGGGATCTATAAGTCCGCTCACAGCCTAGAACACACAATTTTAAAATGAGTTGTACAGCAAGAATGAGAATAATGAATATTCTGAAGACAAACTTACTGCCATTGAGGTTATGGACGATTTCGAGAACAATCTTTCTGCTTCCTTAAACTTTCTATTTCGTTTATCAGATTTCGCATTTGTCGTTTTATTGCTGGATAAGTATCTATCCCATCCCCTGATAATATTACCGTAGAGCTGCGTGTCTTCTAAATACGAACCTTCGAAAGCATATATTTGTCGTTCTAAATTTGCCAATGTCTCCTGCAAATATTATATATTTTACATACTCTGACAATAGCCACATCAAAATAACTAACAGAAATTTCTGCTTTTCGTTTAACTAATTCTGCTAGTTCTCCACGAGCATCAATTGATGTGGTCTTTGTAGACATCTTTGTTTCGGTTTTCATTGAATTTAAATTGGTTTAATACCGATTAATTTTAAAATCTATAATCAAATTTTGATTATAATTTAATACTTTATAGAAAATTGGTTTTTCTAAAAATGTTTCCCAATAAATAATCACTACCAACGTTTGAAAACATAAACAAATCCGTTAATCGTCAAGTCAGTCAGTTCTACCAACATTATTTTATTTAATTCAGACGTGTCTCCACTCTGACGAACGTGGACTGATGTTTGATTGCTGAACAGTTTTAATTTAGGGTCGTTTGTATGTACCACTCTTACTCGACATAATCAAGCGACTTAATTACTTAATTTTAAGCCAATTGAATTTCTTCATTTCGGCATTCAACTGAACTGAGGTTGAATTAGCGAGACAACCCGCCTTTATTCATTAATTAGGCAATCTATTCACATATAAATAAATAAATAATCTTATACATAATAATGTGTTATCTCCTTATCTCATCTCTATCTCTACTCAGTATGACCCACAAATAAATACAACGCAAATACAAGCTGTTAATACATTTTGCATTTTCCATTTTAAATACATGTTCAAGTGCATTTTACCTAGTTCTGGTCCTAATCCCTTGGGTGCACGCTATCTGGATTAAAACACACTGAATTTACGAATACATAATCAAAGTAGGTAGCCCCAATATGGCGAACTTATGATAAATTCATATATATAAGAGAAGTATATGGGTAACCGCCTATGATTGCAATGTGCAAATTGTTCGCCATAAAAGAGAACTGCCCTATTCCTTAGTCCTGAACTCTGTAATTATGCGCAAACTCCCCAAGTAAATATTTACTTCTCTCCGCCTACTTTTAAGTAGCGCCAATTTCAAATTTCATAACCTATAACTCGAAAATAGGGTTAAAATTTTATTAAACCATTATTGTGTGCAATTACCATATGTAAACACAACCACGCACCATTCGGAAACTTCACCCAGACTTCTATTCGCTTCATGCAGGTTCATATTCACCACATTGGCCCCATTCCACCTGCCGACTCCTATCACTATTGTCTGATCCTGTGATGTCTTTAGATAAGTATACTAGCTGGCCGAGGCCCACCCTCCCAAGACCAATCGCCGCCGAAGCGTTTCTTACCTGTTGACTATATCGCTTCGATTCCCCTACTAGCATCTTCACCGATCAGCGACGACAATTTGAATCTTCCCTTTTTTGTGCCCTCAACATTGTTTTCGGCACACAAGGATTCGGGACCTGCAGTCAATGGCCTACTTGAATGATTTCACTGCCAACTCAAATCAGCGCTCACGTGCCACCCAGTGCGTTCTGGTTCAAGGTACTCTGTATCGTTCTGCTTGGAAACTGTAGCATTTTCACGGAGAACTTTCGAGCTTCCTCAGCGGAGTTTGTTTACGGTTACACCCTTCAACTTCGAAGGCAAACTTTGTAACGATTTAGAAACTTAAATTGCAATTGAAATAATATACCTATAGGGATTATATCTTGAATATAACTTGAAATTGGATAAGTTCGCATCAGCTATAATATAAAGTGATACATTACCAATGTTCAAAGAAACACAATTAAATTAAAGACATTTACTGATTTTAAAATAAAATTAACATTGTCGAGTTGGAAATCTTTTAGGTGTTAAGTGACCCCCATATAACTTCGTGCCCCCATCATGCTTGCGTGCATCCAAATCAATGCAGTCATAGCGGTTAAAATGACGAGAACACAACCTTGTTTTTACATCATCGAATTCCGATAGTTCACATGCTTGCAGTCACCGATTCTTGTTGCTTTTTTCACTTGGGAATCTAATAACAAGTATGGCATAAATGAATTGATTGCAGATAATTGCATTGTAACTTACTTGTGCCATGAAACCGAAGAATCCACTTTCCCACAAGTACCTGCATTTCTTTATTTCTAAGTAATGAACACACTAAAATTGCCAAACATTAGGTATTCCTTTACAATTATTGTGTATCACTTACGTATACTGATTTATATAACTACGAAAGGCTTCTTTACTATTAAGATTAAACAAAAGTTCAATAACTCATAAACAAAACAAACAATTTAACCTCAATCCGTTATGTCAAACTGGAGTAAATGCTTGGTAAATAACACTACATAATAACACGCAAGCGCATTAGCGCCTAGTTCCCAACTAATGACAGAAGTATATTTCCATCCACTAACGTTGGCGATAGGCGTGTCCACTCGTTTATCCATATACTTCTCTTATATATATGGATAAATTGCAGATATCCCAGTGTTTGTTATTGTGAGTGTGCCAATCGTATAAACGAACGCAACTACTGTAGCTTGTTATGTTATGGAACCGGTACCTTAGATACAAGAAAAGAGGTTATGATTTATTTATTTTTTTTTAAATTAAATTTTTGGTCAGTATCAAGCATATATATAAGGTATCAAGCACATTTAGGGAATGCCTGTAAGCAAATTACTTCGTGTAAATCAGATAGACGCGGTTTATTTGGACAACGAAATATACAAATCATTGCTATGGTTGGTAAAAGAATGCACTTCTCACTTACCAGTAAGATAGAGTTGCGAAACAGTGTCCTATAATAATTGACTCATTTTTAGCCCAGAATTGCCGCATACTACATGCCCGAGTTAGAATTATTTGTCAAATTCGTCATACTATATCATTCTGTTGCGAAGAACGGTTTCACATTTGGTCAAAAATTATTGGCCATTAAGTACGAGAACTTAAGTAACGCTAAGAAAATATTGTATCTGGTCTTTAGCTGTTCAAGCTATCTACACAGAGTGGAAGCGTTCAATAATTTCGCTCGTTTTTATAAATACATTGTGTGGTTTGACGGGTTTATAAAAATTTGTAATTTTGTTAATTTATCGTTGTTTTTAAAAACTGGTAAATATCCCATTTTAATCGACAGAATTCTAAATTTGGAACAAGTGTATACACAAAATGCAGAAAGATCGTTTGGTTCAAAATATTTAGCCAGGGAACTTTTATGGAATGGCTTCATTGTAAGTTTGTATTATGTACTGAAGAATTTTAAATCATGCGTTTTATGTACGTTAGGAAATTCTGGTATATGTTTTACCATTAATCAACTATCACAAAATAAGGAGAATGATTTATAGCATCATGCCTTCACGAAAAAAATTAGATGCTTTCTCTGATACTCCTGTTTTGACACTACAAACTACATGTATATATTGTGGATTGGCACCAATTCTTCCACATCATATGAACTGCAAACACGTATTTTGTTATGTGTGTTTAAAGGTAGGTCAAATTATCTCGAAGATATGCATGTTTATTTACCTTTAAGGCCTGTAAGTCTATGCGCAAGTTTATTTAATTTTTTTATAATTATGTATTTGCATTACCTATATTTTCTGTTTCAAGGGAAACCAATTGGCTGATTCTATGTATTCATGCCCTGAATGTGGACATTCTACAACATCGTGTGAACGGGTTTCAGTAAAATGAGTTTTATAGAATTGGGCGGATAGATTAATCATTGGGTACCTATACCACCGGACATCGATGTTTTAGAAGAAGTAGCTAGAGAGGGTAATTACTTTTAGTTCTGGAACTTGTCAATTGATTCGTATATGTTGGCTAAATAAATTTAAGATGCATCTAGTTTTTTGATACTACCTATTATTGTGGCCTCCTAACACTCTCCTAAAGTATTCATTTGCCGGGAATCCCAGGGTACTTGCCTTAGTTCCCTGACCAGAAATCCTAGAGTACGGTCTAGGACATTAGGGCGCCGCCGAAAGGGCGCCGCCGTTGGGGCGCGTGGACATAAGGGCGCGGGACATAAGGGCGCGAAGACATATGGGCGCGGGAAAGTGTTTAAAAAATGTATATATATTGTAGTGCGTAGATATTTCATACCAACACTACCAACAGTCATACACAAGGCATTCGAGATACCAAAAACATACAATTGGCAACGCCAAAAGTTGGGTGCGAGGTTGCGTGGTACCTTTTATATCACGTTTACTTCTAATTTTATGTTTTTAGCATCGAGTTGTTTAAAGGAGACGTTATGACAGAATTTATAAATTAAGATGGACTGCTAATGCTGAATTGACAAATGACGCCTACATGGAGGCAGCCATGATGTGCACTTACTTGGCGCGAAATTCAAATCAACTATTAAACAAGCATTAACCTCACGTGTTCTAAATAAATTACTGTGACACATGTCATTTTCCAAGGCTGCAATAGTCACAAAACTTGAGCACTAGGAAAATTCCCCTAGAAAATAACTAAAACGTGCACATCATGGCTGCGGTCATTCTAGGGCCATTTCTACCTCTATGCAACTGTTTTATCAGCAGTCCATCTTAATTTATAAGTTCGTGCGTTATGCTTTCTCCCAATCGCTCACTCGCTCGATTTTCACGCCCAACAATTAAAAGAGAACGGCTGAACTGATTGCGATGAAATTTTACAGATGGATTCTTTATCAAATTTTTAGATCGGAGTTCGTGAATTGGCCATATCACCGCCAAAAAATAAGCAGGGCCCTTTTGACATCTCCGTTAGTTATGAACCGAATTACGGCGATTCTCGAGATTCTCGACGATGCTATAAGAGTCAGCAAATTAATTTAGTAATGTTTAATAAAAGTTTGGCAATATTAGAATCAATTTCGACTATTTTGGCATGATGTCTGTGTAGATGGATTTGACTGTGTATGCCCATAGGAATGTATGTACTTGAAATTTTACAGGAGGCTTTATCACAAGCGTATTTCCAGACGTCGTTGTATAAACACTCCAATATATCATATCTCATTTTACCAACTCTTGTTTTCAGAGATCACCTATGTTGTATCACTATATCGGCGTTTGTGTAACTCAAAAATATATAGAAATTTAAAATTTGTTTTTCTTAAAAAATATTTGAAGAATTTTTTGAATTTTCAGAATAGGTATAAAAATTATATACAGGATGTTCGAGATAGTTTACACGACAAAATGATCAGTTTGTTAGATAAGTACTACAATAAAGCGCAAACAAAACTTGTAGATTTTTCGTTGTTCAGGCGCAAACTGTAAGTGCTGTTATCAGATATATAGGTACAGGATAAAACAATCATCAGTAAAGTGAAAACAATTTTATATAAAATGTTATTGATAAACATATCAAAGTGCACAGTAAACCATAACAGTAACGGTCTAACTAAAGGTAAAACAAAAACCACTTTTCTAAATACACAAATTTTCAGACTATATATGTACAAGTAGTATTATATACAATCCACACGGTGCGCAATGTAACATTTTAAGCTTTTTCTAGTCGAAAATAAAATGTCATTCATAACGCGGCCTTAGTTGTATTTAATTTTCACTTATAATTGCACAAGAGGTTTGTATTTTGCCGAGTAAATTTGGGTTGTTTAGGTAATGAAAATCTGTTGCCTAGCAATTAGACGAGAAAAACTGTTCGGTGTCACATTTTTAGGTTCAAGAGTTTTTAGAGTTCAATTGCTAAAAGGAAACAGATTTGAATTGCAACAACCCAAATTTACTCGGTAAATACAAACCTCGAGTGTAATTCGGCAGGACAATTTAACGAACAAGAAATTCACCAATCAATTATTGACAAACGTCAAACTAGTCATATGGGAAAGGATAATGCGATAATTGATTCGAAAATGAATAAGTGAAAAAACCACTAGTGCATTTGTCGCTGGAAAAGTTGCAGGTAACTTTTGCCGCTGTCAAAGTGACAATTGCACTGCGGCTTATGCGATTTTTTATACATGAGTTGAATTGTCACCAGAAATGCAAAGTAAAAACCACTTACATACAGGGGAAGGTTCCTTATAACAACCCTTAAGGAAATTATATTATAATTGAACAATGTTAGATTCCTCAAAGCATGGACCATACGTTTTAATACTCGTAATGCATACACAATTATGGATTCATGGCATAGTTGTGAGAAATGCCACGTAAAAACTCGACAACGTTCCTGTTTGAATAATCATGCACCAGAGTTCTTATACGCGCATCAGCTTGCACATACTTTTGTTTTTTCTTTGGTGGCTCATTACCGGCGATTAATTGTTCAAGAAATAAATCTCTACCACGTTGAATAGTCTTTAAGCTGGCAATCAGCTTCCAAAGTGTGGGGTTATATACTGACCACAGCTCTGGACCAAAAATTGCCGGTCGTCTTTCGTCACCACGACGATTGGGACGCCCCACATATGTATCTTCAAACCATTGAAGTAACGGTTCCAGTCCGGGTGGCAAGTTTTGCGATAACTGGTCAATTGCGTTGTCCAAATCCGCAATGGGCACAAACGCCAATGACGTTATCATGCGCGCTTGTAACGCGAAATCCGCTTCAGTATTGTATCGCCCCATTAAGTGGAGTTGACCCAAATGTTTCCGCATGTTTTTCGTGAGATGAAACATCTCAGAATTTCAGCATCTGGGAATGCACCCTTGAACGCGTTGATGGCGGCTAACTCAAAGTCGCAGGAAATTTTGCGGGGATTTAGATCAGGCACTATGTTTTTCAACAAATCTATCATTCTTCTGTAGGTGGCAGCTTGCTTATTCGGTAACAGAGCATATGCCACTGGATGAACTCCGCCATATCGTTCACCTATTATCACATAGATTTGGTGAAATAATGGTGGTGCTGTAGAAAATGTCCCATCAGCGAACCAATGCTGCGATTCCAGCAAGATCTATTAAATAACAAGAAAATAATGTTATCTTAGCATATGTTTGCATTTTATTTTTTGCAGGGTTAGATATGGTGGTCGCGTATTTCAAGGATGAACATGAACATCACGCTTATTTGAAAAATCTGAAAATATTTTTCCCTGTATTACCAAAAAAATAAATGGGATCGATGAAGTCTATTCATTGGGGTGTTTACACATATGCAACATCTCCCTAATTTAACTGTTCAATCGATACAGGTCCGGTTCACTTATCCTCTCCCCCCCCCCCCCCCCCAATTTGTCCAAAAATGAACCAATTTTGTTGTACGTACTGTACCTAAAATGTGTTTTTATGCCTAAGTTGGTGCCTTTTTGGTTTCGAAGATAAATTGAACAAATAAAATGACGACTAAGTGAATGGTTAGGTTCCCCCAAAATTAAACCTTTAAACCTTTTTGTACTTCAACGTTTTCCAAAAAAGCACAAACGGGCAACGGCGAGCATAAATGCACAATTGAGGCACACTACATACAAAAAAATGGTTTCATTTTTGGGCTAATGGGGGGGGGGGGGGGCTAAGTTCATTTATTGAGTCAGGATATGATAATTTTAAACTATCATTGCAGGGAGGCTGTAGAAAATTTAATCCATTCAACAATTCTAAACACTGCAAAATTTAAATAGGTACTTTATCAGTTGTGCGATTTTATGCACCGGAAAAGTAAACTGTATCGGCTTCCAATACTAAAGAGTACATAGTAGAAAAATAAAAAAAGTTACTAACCTCACTGACTTTTGTTTCCCGGCCAAATATTAAAATTCTGTCCGGTTGTGGGCCACTATCAACCATTAAAAAGTTTTCTCTCCTTTCGTTTACAACAATTGTTTTAAATTCTTCAGGACTTTCCAAATCTTCTACGCGTAAAGGAGCTGCGGGCGCAGCATTCACCTCATTCCTCGTCCTACGAATCATTTTTTTCAAATTCGATTGTTTAGGCAATACTGCTTGCGCTGCCTGGGATAAATTTGCGCCATCCAGGCATATATTAATGATTTGGGAAGTTTGTTCCATAGTTTCGCCCGCACGAATTTTCATTTGACCACGAACCACATCTGCCTCTACTTTAGCAGCATTACTGTCGTGGGAATGATTGTGTATCTGTTTTATGATAACACCATTTGATGCGGTATGGATACGACTTTTACATCCATTGTTTTTTAACTCACACCGCCAAAAAATTTTTGTCTCGCAGGCACTAACTTTATCAAATAGGTACAAAACAGTAGCCGTCACTATATTGAACTTCCGTTTTCCTTTTTGGGACAGCACTTCCATTTTTTACAATAATACTATCACTTAGAGGCACTAGTTCACGCTTCTAACACTCAAAAACAAGTGAAACTGTAGCGGACGAAATTTCAGGAATTAATTTCTTGTAATTACGTTGCACAAATGTGCATAACACGCTGGATCGACAAGTAGTTTAAATATTAAGGGTCTAAGTATTCTTTAACCGACAAGGGTGTTATTTACGAGTTAAGAAATAGAAGCTTTCATATAATTCATGACTTCCTGGGAGTCATCCGAAATGTACTTTGTTGCACATGTGTGACACAATCGGTAGCTTCGGACAGTAATTACACTTGTAAAGATAAGTCGAGTTCGTGTCAGCGATTCATACGATTCATTTCTGATTCTAAAATAACTTATATTTAAGTTGTATTTATTTTACATTCACCCGTATCCACTACCACAAAACCAAAATCGTTAAAACCCTTTATTGTTAATTGTTATTTATACTTAAGTTGATTGGAGACCACGTAACCTTTTCATGCGTCTCCATCGGAGGCAGTGCCGTTTTTAGGCATGGGTCACCTGGGCCCGGGCCCAGGGCCCCGAAGTCCTGAGGGGCCCCCAAAAGTTTGTGTGAATGAAAAAATTTTAGT